CCGATTGAGGTAATTCAAAGTGCGTTAGAAAGCTAACTCAAAGAGCTACAACTTTCATTGAGATATCATTTTTCAAATCGAATGTTTCCTATGTCGAAAATGGATCTCAAATGAGACTAAAAATCTGAAGTATATTTTAGTAATCCAATATTCATGTCTTAGGGTCACTAAGATGTCTAGAATTATTTGGGGTTCTACAATTGTGAATCATTTCTTCGTAGCCTTTATGACTTGAGTGATTAAGCCTGTAAGGGTTTAAAACCTGGTACCCTAAAGTCGTCTGATTTGGGAGTCATCGGCCTAAAGCTCGTTACAAGGGTCATTTAAAAAGTTTAAGTGAGTGACATCCACACAAAGGGTGTTTAAAGAATACATTTATATTTAAAAAAAATTGATATCACATGCCTTGATTAAGCCCCGAACACTTATTTTAGAGGATTATACCTTTGATAAGAGGTTAGTAACTTGGTTCATTCCTAGAGATTGAAGCAGTCAAAAAAATAAGGAGAATCTTCATCTGTTGATAGGTTGAACTGCAATAGTGAAATCTAACCAAACTTGAGCGGTGTAAGAAATTGGTATTGAAAAATCAACTTTAGAATACACCTTGAAAAGAGAAAAGAAAACAAGTTTGGGGGTGTGTGAATCCCACGAGCGAGGCAAGGAAATATTTGACTTTTAAGGTCGGAAATTGGGTCAATTTATTATTGTATAGCGTTGTGCTTAACTCTCCACACACACACCCGTTTGCATTGAATAAGCGAGAATTTGGCGTGTGCATTATAGTTTTGAAGTAATTCATGAATTTGACGCTATGTTTTTAATCTTGAGCTATAAATGCAAGGTGTCTAACATGATGTTTCTTTTGAGTGACTTTGTCTATTTTAGTTGTGCTTTTATGTTCGTTAATGATTATCTTTAGTTTTGTGTTTGCTTGAGGACAAGCAAAGAACTAAGTTTGGGGGTGTTTGATGAATGTAATTCACTCATTAAACTAAAGCTTCTAAATCACGTTTTTTGATTTGTTCTTGGGCATTTTTGAACATTTTGATGTGTGTGTTCGTGTTGTTTTGCCGTTTGAACAACTCTCGAAGAAAATACCACTATTGGGAGCCTGTGATGAGCAAAAATGATGATCAATGAAATGGAGCATGAATAAGCAAGTATTGAATAAGATTGGAGTGGAAAATAGGCTTGGAGAATAAAGTGAAGAGAAGCAAAGCAGTGGCACTAGCGCCACGGCACCGAAAAAGGGGCGCCGGTCAACCCAGCAGTACCACTGGCGCCATAGCGCCAGACAAATAGGAAGCGAAGCAAAAACTCTGGCGCCGTGGCGTCGGACCTAGGTGACATGGCGTCAGTTAGTAACATCATCGCGATGCCACGGCGCCATACTTGGGCGCCGTGGCGCCAAATCTCGAAACAAATAAAACCCGAAATTTTAATTATTTTTTGGGCCCAAAAATCATACCCTAACCATTGAGGACTCTTAGAAAATATAAATACCAAGATGAAGACCAAGAGAAGGGGGTTAGATGGTCGAAGAGGCAAGAGAAAAAGAAGCACCAATTGAGAGAAGATTGTCCTGATTTTAGAGAAGAAGCAGGTAGAAAACTGAGAAATCAAGCAACAAGACTGAGAAGCAGCAACTTGAGTTTTTTTTTCTATCTTTCTCTTATCCATGCACTCTATTTTGTATCTCATTGCAATTTTATTCTCCATCATGAACTAAACTTTTAAATCTAGGGTTTGATGTAACCTATTTGAGACATAATTTTATTTCTTTATAGTATTCCCATTGATTTTTCCATAATTGATTTGTATTGTTCTTACGTAATGCTTTCAGTTACCTGATTGCCAATTGAATGAATTGTTGCTCTAAATTTGACGCTCGAGAGAGGGAAATTTAGGCGTAATCTAAAAACAATATAACCTAGATTTGTAGGTTTCGAGAGAAAGTGCAAATCTTTGAGGGTAAAACAAGGACCAAGTGCTTGATAATCTTTATATATTTAATTCGGAATAGAGATATTGGGATTAAAATATAGAGATGGGTTCTATTTGACGTTCGAGAGAAGGAAATAGAATAAATTTAGGATTCTTACCTATGAATTGGGGAAATAGTTGATAGGAATATCTATAGGGGATGAGAATTATGTCGATAATATGGTGAAATCACTCCTTAGACATTACATAATTCTTATCCAATCTTTAAAAATTGTCTCACGTTCCTTGCGTTATTTAATTCATCGACATTAGTTTAACATTCAAACATCAATTTAACATCCGATTGTCTAGATAAAGTAAACGCAGACACAATTATAATATTCAGTAGAAGTCGAATATCAATCCATGTGGGTTCGACACATTTCAATTCCTTAATATACTACAAAACTTGACACCATACGCTTGCGGTTAAACCACGTTACATAAAACTCGTGACAGTCACCTTTGATATAACCTCCTCTGAGCTATCCAATACAAGCTGTAGTGTCTTCATACAAGATTGGTGGACTATATTTTGTTGACGTTAACCTACATGATGCTTGAATATGATGGGTCATATTCCTTAACTATACACATTCTCGGCTTCATAAATTGCAATGTTGCTGTCAATGATTGTTTCACAGATCTCTGTGATATAGCTGTTCCTCCACATGTAAACACATATCATATTTGTGATTAGCTTTACGTGGGTCAGAAAGATAACCTGTATTCGCATATCCTAAATCAATAGTGGCCTTTAGGTAAAGAAAAAATATGTTAACACCATTCCAATGTCTTCAAATTGGTGCAGAACTATATTTTGCAAGAAGATTTTCAAAAAATTTATGTTAGGTCGAGTTCATTTGCAAGATAAGTTAATGCTCAAATTACACTAAAATACGGTACTTCAGGATCAAGAACATTTTCTCCATCTTCAAGTATGCAAAATGGATCTTTTTTACATCAAGTGATTGATCAATTATAGGTGGTATCAATGGATATGCATATGTTCATATGAAAACGTTTTAAAAAATTTTCTGTATATATAAATTAATGAACAAATAATCTTTTTGGTAAGTGTTCAATCCACAACTTAAACAAAATTTGATTTTTTTCAAAATCTTTCATCTCAAATTCAATTTTCAAATAATCAGTAGCTCTGTTGAGCTCTTCAAGAGTTCCAATTAAATTAAAATTATCAACATAGATTGCCACAATTGTAAAATCCATATTTTTTTCTTTATGAAAATGCATGAGTAGACATCATCATTTTTTATAGCTTTTCTTCATTAAATATTCGTTAAGACAATATATCACATGCGTCCATTTTATTTGGTCAATCATTATTTCAATCAATATATTTCGTCACATTTATTTTGATTCCTCGCTACGTGATATAGTACATCATGTGAAAAATTAACAAATTTTCTTTTTTATTCTATTTTTTTTACCCATAATGACATAACTTGTTGAGATATCTCAAGTTTAATTATTTCAAGTACCTGAAGCTCTTCTAAGGTTTTATAATTTGCTATGTCTAAATACTCATCAAAAGTATATATCTCCTTAATGAGACCATCTTTGTTAATTGTTCCATTTCGTTTAAAGATTTTTTGTATTAGAAGGCATGTCAAAGATATACCAAATATAATGTTAACAAATTATCCTTATATGACATCAATTCCTATTGAAGCATTTAAAACTAGTGCATGAGATACTGATTATCTCTTTGATGGGTAAATGTTTTAATTTCTGATTCAAATGATATTTTGCGAGGATTTAAATGATGATACATTTAAATATTATTTTCAAGTTCTTAATTCTTTCCCTGATGCTGAGAAAATTGTTCAATCAAATTGACAATCATTTTTCGACATTATAAAATATCGCCTACTTGGGATAAGGGTTCAAACTACGCAGTTATTCTTAGCATTTTTTATTTTTCATCTTAGTGCACTGTGTTTCAATTTTACATATATTGCACTATTAAAATAATTAAATGATAAAATTAGTCTCAGACCATCAGACCATAAGACAATTATAATAGAGAGAACTATGATGTTGACATGATAGAATTCTCCAAACAAAAATGGGAAGTACTGTGTTCTCAATTAAATTAATTGAAAACATTTAACAAACAATAGTGTAAAACCATTTACCGATATCTCAACAAACATGTATTAAAATGTTGAGATTTATATCCATTAGCATTAACAAGACACAGTCTTAATTTTATAAACTAAAAATTTTGCTCATAGTTTGAAATTTGAACAGTAATTTCACAAACTTCAAGTTGCAATCACATGCAATCATCTAGTATATATATCAAATCTATAAAATACAAATAATATTTAGTGATCAACATGGAGGATGATAAGGGCCCATTTAACACCCTAATTAATTTTTAGAAACATAGAAAATTCAATTTCTATTTTAGCTAGTGACGCTTAATGAAAAATTTTCATAAAAGATAACAAATAGGGTACTGCTTTTCCCATCCACATTTTTTATAAGTACATCCCACTCTAAGTTCATCCCTAATAAAATTTTAAAAAAATACTATTTACATCCACATCATATTCCAATCTTGTCCTTGTTAAATTCATTCATTTAAATACTACATATCCACATGAATTTTATATATTCGTCCCACTTTTGATACATCCCTATCACTATAGACTAGTGAATGCACACGCATTGCACGTGTAGTGGGTGATTTAGTGTAAGTAATAATGTTGAATTTTGGATTTGTAAGATTTCAGTGGAAAATTAACCCTGCATTGAATGAAGATTACATTGAATTATATAAATTGTGTCTACCAATATTTGCCTCACTTCATTTTCTGACGTGTTATCAACAAGACCAATTCTGCCTTTGCCTTTATAACTAATTGTTATCTTTCTTTCCATCAATTGAATACAGTTAAATGGCTCTTGCTTAAAGCTAAACCTAAAACGTCTGTCATACAAAACAAATTTCATCTAATAAACAAAACTACTCTACAAGGAAAAAGTAGAAATGAAGTTGCAGGGCATGTAAACGAGACGGTAAAAGTCTAATCTTGAAGGCATTATTTGAAAGGGTACAATTGAAGTAGAATACTGATATGCTCCAATCTACCTCACATAATCTAGAAGGACCCAGAAGAAGAATAACCTGCAAATGGTGGAAAACTAAAGTCTATTAGAGGGTAAAATTAGTTGGGGGAAAAGTAGTTACATGTATGCTATAAATATAGGTAGATAATAGCCAAATAGAGAAGATATGGAGAAGGATCTAGGGGAGAGAACTGGCCTCTCGAATGCCAAATACTTATTATTTCTTTTGCATTAGAGTTGGAATACATTTCATCAATCTTACATATTTGTATTATCTTTCTATTAAAATGTATTTGAATTTACAGCACTTCAGATTATAGAATACATATTACAATTCTGTCAGATTCTTCTTGTTCTATTTATGTCCTCTTTTTGCCCTTGATTCTGTGTATCGAACAGCTACTGTTGCAGGATCCTATCAAATATATACCAGTAAAATTTTCCTAAAACAAATGTACGGGAAGCATCCATGAGAAAATCATCATTTCAAATATTAAAATGCCAACCTAGAGATAGTAACCTAACTAAATGTATTGATATCAGACTCATATGTGTCATGAAGTACGAGCTAACTTGTGTAAATTAAGACAAGTCTTAACCACTCATTCTAATAGATATACCACGTCCAAATGAATGCCCCCTGAGAACCCTCAACATTTTTCTATAAACAAATGCTAGTTAACAATTGGGAGCAATTGTTAGCATAAGTTATAGATGTTAATATGAGTTTTAAAAGTATAGTTCTACTCACAATACCTCGTCATTTGTGACTAAATGAATATAATATATTGACATTTGGCACTTGAACAATTTTTTAACAAATGCTCAGAATGCTTATTAACATGACTTGTAGGTTCTACATTGTGATTGAAACGTACTTGGTTCATTTTTTGGAAAAATTGTCTTGCACTAAACCGGAAAAAGTTACACAGTATTATAGGAAAAGGGAACAACTATTTTCAGCTATTTTATAGAGATATAATCAACAAACAAAAAGAAAGAATGATCCAAGTGATATTAAATAATTTATAAGCATATAATTATAAATTACGAAACTGACTCCAATAAAAAAACACATCATGTCCATAGTGAGGCAAAATGTCTGGTTTTCTCAATTTCAACAAGCAAGAATTATGACTCGACTTTCTACACTTCCCAAATTGGTCAGACATCTATCTGGATTTGAAGTAAATTACTAATGTAACAATATCCCAAAGAATTGGATGAAAAAATAGAGAGCTGTACATTAGCACAATGTTCGTCACTATAGTTTTGAGCCTTTTGGCTTTAGTTAGAATTCACACAAGAGAACACATTCGTTAAATTCAACAAAATCTCTATCTCATAAATACAAAAAAATTAAAAAAATAGTTATTCAAGCAACTGATATACCAAATATCCATACCGTTCAACAAATGCATCTACAAGCAAACATAATATATTACTTAAAACATTTTCACACATAATGTTCCACACATTTGTCTTAATTATTGTAGCAATTTAGGTTCAAATTTAATCAAAGATCTAGATAGCTTTTCTGACTCACGGTTTCGATGAGGAATTTTTTTGTACTTCATATACTTTTGAGTATATCTAAGCCACACAAATTGGCACTATCCCAAGAAAAAATTACACCTACAATTCACACAAAGAAAAGGAAAAACAATTAACTCATCAAGCTATTGCTTTTATAAATCATGTAACTTAACTCATCAAAATATTCAAGTATTGAACTTTAAAAGGAATTCGCTTAGCATATTCAAGCCACGTATATTGGCAATTTCGAAGAAAAAATGACACCTGCAATTCAGACAAAGAAAAAGAAAAACAATTAACTCATCAAGCTATTGCTTTTATAAAATCAAATAACTTAACTCATCAAAATATTCGAGTACTGGACTTTAAAACTTTAAAAGGAATTCGCAATTTAAGTACATAGTGCACTCCTCTACACTGTTCTTTACTGCGATATTAAAAAAAGATTAATTTTAAAAAATTTGCAGGTATAAGAAAAAATTCACCTAAAATATTTAAGATGCAATGTAATAATACAATAAGCTCAAATTGCTAGAATAAATACCAATAGTTCGACAAAGAGCAAGCATAATTAACTTGTTAACGTATGGCAACTAAGACATGTTTCAACAATGAAAATAATCTCGTTTAACATACTACCTACAAGAATTCTATAGAATTTGGAGTATAACGAGCCATAAAAGATTGGACATGTATCAATTAACTCTAAGAAACTCTGTTGCTTCATCCAACAAAAAATTCAGCAATCGATCATATCCTTTAAGTGTATCAGTTACCGAAAAAAAGAATCAAATGTTAACTTTCCCGAGTTATGCTAAAAAGAACCGATGTATTTGGATACCGATCTAAGAAACAAAATATATATCCATCACCGTCCAGTAGATATGATCTTTGGCATAGAGCATGATATGAATAATTGCATTGACATTTAGTGTGTCAAAATCGAACTATTTCGAGGCTTTCCTTGAAGCATGAAAGATAGAGGATAGAACAGATTACATGGAAAAAAAATTTTAATTTCACGGATAAACAGCCAAAGCGATTGATTTTTTACCATTATCATCACAACATGAACAATAACTCAACGAAAATTTCACAAACTACCGAAACCAAAAACAATTGATTTTTTACCCTAGACTCCCAGAACCCAAAAGCCTATACACAGAGCTCACATTACAGATAAACAAAGAAAATAAAAACAAAAAAAAAAGGTTCACGCACACTTACGTTGGTGGATCTGAAATTGTTACCAAAAAAATTAAGGAACATTTCACCAAATAAATATTCATAGTTCAACATGTACATAATCATGAAAATAAACTAATTTTTAGGTATCAGAAACATACGTAGATTGGACAAGTGGATAGACTTTTTAGGATTTTTTCTTCTTTTTCAGTAATTTTACCTTTCTGGGTTCCTCTTTGTTTATGCTTAGAGTTAGATCTGAGGCACAAATTGTAACAATTTGAAGCTAAGCTCGAAAACAGAACAAAATTCCCAGATCTAGATAGAAACAGAAAAGGCAAAACAAGATTTTAAAAAGAAAAAAGAAAAGGACAGTGATATTGGTGGGTAGAAAGAACAACCATAGAGAGAAAATGAAACGTACATGAAAGAACGAAGAGAGGGATTGAGATTTTGTGGGAAAATGGAGGAAAAATGAATAAAAAAGAGAGAGATTAGCAGCAACCTAATTTTTAGAGTTAAATGTTTGAATACAAGTTTATTTTGTAAAGTGTCATGTTTCACTCATCGTACTTTACCTTGCATTCGATTACTTATTGAATTTTTTTAAGTTGCACTCCATTGCTCACCGGCTAACTTCCGTCTCTTCTAAGCGCCTACGTGGTAAACGATTTCACACGTGGCTGTTAAAAATGTAGAACACAAAATAAATAAATGCCACGCGCTTAAATGACCCAAACACGTACTTAATTATTCAATTCCAAAACACGCCAATTTGAAAGCTTTATTTCAATATCAAATAGAAGAATAACAGCTTCATCTCTCTCGTATACCACCCCAAATCGCCCGACAACCCTACCCCCCAAATCAATATCATCGAAAATGGAAGACACAACTTCATCTCTCTCAAATCCCAGAGTCCAAATCACCCGACAACCCTAACCCCAAATCAATTTGATCAGAAATAGAAGACACGATAAGGGTGTTTTGCTCAATTCCTTGGTATGGAGAGAACAAACATAGGTATTGCAGTAATTTTTTCATTTTTCTCCCCGATATCACTACCACTATATTGGTTGGTCCAAATAATGTTGTATTGATAATATTATTCCAGTTTCATTGTGTAATTTTTGGATAAAATCACATGCATTTGTTGTTATATTGATGGAACAAGAGGTGTTATATTTTGACGATTCTTTGATGACCATGTATAGTAAATGTGGCAATATTGACGATTCTTTGAAAATGTTTGATGAAATGCTTCACAAAAATGTGTCTTCTTGGAATGCGGCAATTTTATGTTATGCAAATCTAAATTCCGATAAAAGAAACGGTTTTTCTAGATAATAACGAATTGTGGGAATTTGTGAAGGGAATGCAAAATGAAGGATTGAAATTTGATGCATATACAATCTCTATACTCCTTCCTTTGTGCGGAGGAGATGTTAAAAATGGTAACTGTAGCAAAAATGTAGGCTAAGGAAGGGAATTACACTGTTACATTGTGAAATATTGGTTGGAATTGTGTTCGGGCTCAGGTTCCGATGCTCATTTAGGATATTGTCTGATTGATATGTACTCAAAAAGTGGTGGAGTTGATATGTGTAATTTTTTTACTGTCCATATGTAAAAAATTGTGAGGAGTATTGTGGTATTTCATTAAAACTTACAGTTGAGCATTCTAATAGTAGTGTTGAGCATTAGAACGAAGAAGATGCTGAAGCAGAAATGGAAGTGGCTGATTGTACGTTGTGCAGTTATTTTTGCCCATTTTTTTCCTATTAATTTAATTACGTATTCATTATAAAGTCAAAGTTTCATACCCATGGTACCAACTGATTACGATGGAGCTAGCCAAGAGGATGATATTGATGGCGTTGAAGATGAAGATGATGAAGAAGAAAGCGAGACAAAAGAAGATGATGATATAGAAGCTGAGCAAGCAGTGGCTAATGGTAACTGTACGTTTAACTTCTTCTGATTTTTACAAAATTATTTTGATTATATAATTTAATAGTTTATTGAATTTGACCCCAATGCTTTTGATTGATTAAGTTGGAGTTCGAAATGTTCGACAAATCCAACCCCATGTGGATCATTATGGAGAGGACATTTTCACTCCAGGTTTGGCTCCCCGGCCACAATGACCTTACTTCGTCACTAAAATCATGAAAAAAAATACCAAATCAATTTGTAAGTTTTGCATAATTGAGTTAATCGTTGATAATCTTAGTTTTTTTTCCTTGAAGGCACACTATTAATATACCATGTAGCCTTCTCTATTAACGTAATGTTCTTCAACTTGCAGTTCATCCCCCAGGCAGCGATCAATGGGTGTTGCTGGTGTTCTTCTAGTATATAGAGTTCTTATGTATCCAACAGTAATGGAGTGTAATGTTTTAATGTTTTTAGTTTCCTCTTTAATATCTTGTTATTGGTTTGTAAGCATAGGTAAAACTTCAATTAATAATATATTGATATTGTTATTGGTTTGTAAGCATAGAGTTCCTTCACGAAGTAGTCCATGAAGGTGGAATGATGGGTATAGTGTTCAATTAGGGCCACAATTGTATTCCGTTAATAGGATTCAAGATGTTATTGTAGCATCTCAAGTACGTTTCAATGGTGTAACAGTTATCCACATAATCCTCAGGATCATTTCTACACTCCCTTATCACAACCACTGCATGACTACATGGTATTCCCGACAAGTCCCACCTCCTACATGCACAACTTCGTTCTTCCAAGTCAACGACATAGGTCCCAGACATGCAGTCCACCTGCCATCTAGGTCCCCCTGAAAAATGTAACGTACATTCATTAGACATCTCAGCAACCTTAGCAAGCTTTTTCTTAATCCTCAGACACAATCGTCCTTCGCACCTAATCATCTTACTTCGACGCTTCTCAGTCCTAGTCATAAACCCCAAGTGCATATCTGTCAACATCGTTACAATATACTTCTCCCTATCCTTTATTAGCATTTTATTGAAAACTTCACACAAATTGTTCAATAAAATGTCACTCTTCGAATGTGTCCTAAAATGAGATTTACTCCACTCGCCCTGATGCCTCTCGTTCAACCATGCATATGCTCTTTCACTAACCTGACGAATTTGTTGCATCCGCAATTTGAAGTCAGCTAAGGTAGTAGATTTAGCAGCCTTCCAAAGCAAGTCCTTCAAAGTCTTCCCCTTATATCCCGTATTGAAAATGTTTGTGTACATATGTCTGACGCAAAACCTATGCTCCGCCTCTGGAAATAACTCATCAATGATATTACTTAATCTCTTCTGCCTATCTGTCATCACAGTCCACTTAGCCCCATTTTCCATCTGAATATCCTTAGCTAAATATTTTAGAAACCATCTCCAAGCAACCGTGTTCTCCTTCTGGACAACAGCGTATGAAATAGGATAGATACAGTCATTTGCATCTAGGCTGACTGCAGTGAGCAGTATACTACCCCAAACACCCCAAAGATGGCACCCGTCCACTCCAATTATTTTTCTACACCCATGTTGAAACCCTAATTTGCAAGCACTAAAACAGATGTATATAGCTTGAAACACCTGTCCATTGAGTCCTATCATCACTGTGGATCCTGGATTAGTCCTCAATACCTTAGCCGCATATGACCTCAGTGACACAAATTGTTCTTTGATAGTCCCGTTTATCAGTTGCTTCGCATATCTTCTTACCTTCCAAGCGACATTTCTAGTAATGTTTATTTTCAAATCCTCCTTTATGGTTGCTTGCATACTTTTCGTTTTCCACTCTGGATCTCCCTTGAATTGCTCAATGTATTGATTGACTATGAAAATGTAGTTACAATGACGATTGTAACGATCCCTACTGCATGTGTGTTGAGACATATATGACTTCACCTAAACAGTTTCAGAATTATTCATCTTAGAAGCCCATATTCTCCATTTGCATTCTGATTTACAGATGCCTTGAACTCTTCTTTCATCATTTGCCTTACACTTAACATTATAGCCATTCACTGCACCATAAGCCCGAATTGCCTTCCTAAATTCTTGAATAAAATTGAACAACTAACCTACCTCAAACTTCGGATCGCGCATATCCGTTTCAGCCATAAACTCTGAAAATCGATACCCTACCTTATCGTCAGATGATACATCGGACAATAGTTCTTCAGACGATGGATATTCCATATCATCGATGTCCGGCTGTTCATCATGCACCAGTATCGCTTGATCCCCTTTTTCCCGTCTAATGGTTGCCCTCCCATCACAATTTAACTCAACTCCCTCTGTAACATTTTTTTCGAATAGCACATCGTCTGCACTGACGATATGTCATTGTCAGAATCATTGAAGTCAAACTCATCCTCTTCCGTTTCTGTCACATAAAAAGAGATTGAAAATCATTAGAATCAGTTTCATTCTCTACATGTCAAAGAGGCAGAATTGTATAATCCAAACATTCTGGTTGCAAAATTCTTAGTTAACTGATGAATTACCATTTAATAAATAGCATATGATATTTAACTTCATAACTAGAAATAGTGATTAAAATTAAAAGTACAGATGGCCAAAAAAAATTTAATACATAACAAAAAAATCATTTTCTTTATCACAGGTTCATTTACATGGATGGTAAAGCACACAAAAATCATAAAATAAAGAATAGACTTAAAGATTTCGAACAATCCAAAAATTTCATCTCTCTTATTTCTAACTAAATTTAAAGGGGATTTTGTGATTTAAATGAAAAAAAAGGAAAAATCACGAAATAAAGATGGATGGTCCAAATTTCAAGAACCATCTCAAGATTGCATGTTCTAGTGCTTAATTTTATAACCTTAATATATATTATACATGGCAGAGGGAGAAGAAAAAATCAAAAAATATAGTCGGATATACCTAGAAGTGGTCCCTCCATGTGCTCTTCTTGAATTTCCCCAAAAGTAGTGATTGGTTTGTGGGGCTTCAACTGTGTAATATTTGGCTTAGTTTCTTGATGGCTAGGGTTCATTCGTCCACTGTGTGGTTGAGAGCTTGGGAGATATTATATATTCACTTGCAATAATGGTTCAAAAGGGTGAGGCTTGTTTGGGCTCAATTATGTGGGTGAGACGTGTTTGGGTCATTTAAGTGCGTGGCATTTTTATTTTTATTTTTTGTGTTCTAGTTTTTAACAGTCACGTGTGAAACCGTTTACCACGTAGACGCTTGGAAGAGACGGAAGTTAGCCGGTAAGCAATGGAGTGCAACTTAAAAAAGTACGGTGAGTGAGACGTGACACTTTACAAGTACAGTGTGTATTCAAACATTTAACTCTAATTTTTACACCCATTCACTTGCAAACAGCTCGGCTCACACGACTCACCCCCAACAAGGTTAGAATAACATGGCCATTAGGCTTATGAATAGTAACCAAAACCCACTTATATTGTAGTTAGATTCGCCCAATCCCTAGAACCATAAACTTTAAATCAAATAAATGAAATAAGAACAAAGCTAAACTGATTGAACATTAAATTTA